GAGAAAATTTGGTCTGTATGGTCTCCAATCTATTTATATAAATTTTATATCGCGGATTCCATACCTGCGAACAATACTCTAGGATACTGCGCACATATGCACAGTACAGCACCTTAAAAATTTTAGCACTAGTAAATTGCGCACCAAGCCGCTTGATAAAACCTAATGATATATAGGCTCTTTTCACTATATTGTCTATATGCTTCTCATAAGACAGTTTCCTATCATGTGTTACCCCCAAATCGCAAAATTCATCTACATTTGCCAGATTGGTTCCTATAAGCTGATATGTGAACTTAACAGGTGTAGTCTTATGTGTGAAGGTCATGGCAAAACACTTCGAAACGTTGAGGTCTAATTTATTAAGATGACAATATTCCTCGAGCTGGAATCCGCGATATAAAATTTATATAAATAGATTGGAGACCATACAGACCAAATTCATGAGGTTTCTTCAATTTAAAACTAAAGTGTATGATCCCGACTACGAGACGAGATGTAGAAGGCATCACATACTTCCACTGGAAGAAAGACGTAGGATAGCTGATACTGTTCTTTAAGCAAACTAGCTCAGTCTGAGGTGGACTCGTCTTATCTTCTATCGTTGTTATGTTTAAGGGTGCCCCCGAGATCCATAATGCGCGAGAGCCGTCAATCATCTCGTCTCGGAGTACCTCGTGGTGGTACAAATTACAGACGTAATGCATTCTTTATAAGAGCTGCTAACAGTTTCAATGCTCTAGCTGACTTCCCTGAACTGGACATTTTCAACACTTCTACTAAGAGTATTAGGAGAACATTAGTCAGTCGATGGTTGAATGCAAATATTTAATTAATTATTTTCTATTTACTACGTTTTTCTGTTTTTTTATTTTCTCAATCTGTTTTATTTTTGTTTTTGTTTTACGTTTTACTTTTAATTATTTAATTCTAGGCGATGCGACGCCCCAATCGTTTGTAGTTATTTAAATGCGGAGACATTTAAATGGTGTTTAGTTGTAAGGTTAGAGTTTATATAGTTTAAGTTCACTGTTTGTCTTCCTAATAAAATAAAATAAAATACTTGAGGTCCGAGTCCTCATTGTATTGTAGTAACTGTCCCATACTTTGCTACACTTCTGCTGCCTTCGGTTTCGCGTATGGGTATATTTGATTTTGGATAATCTCCTCATTGACCTATGATCACGCTATTGTTACTATTAGACTGATAATAATATTATCTATTTCACAAAGCGTTATAGCTTAGTATGTAATAATAAAGTACAGTACACTGATTAACCGATGAATTGTTTATTTTTCTCGATTTTCTGTTATCTTTCTCAAAAATAAGGAATCAGGAAACACATCGACTTCTGACTGTTTTTTTAAACTAAAAATGCTCTAATTATATGACATGTTGTGTTCAAAGAGAAACCTCTTTCCTATTTAATATTATTGGGAATTCCTATTCCTATATTAAATTAATGAATACAGTTACAAAAAAATTGTTTAGCTTAAAAATGCTTGCCGAAAAGAATCTATTCTGTGACATAAATAAATCAATTTTCTTAAAAGAAGTGTAAGTATAAAAAAAACGAACATTTTCAAAAAAAAGCGCCTTTATTTAAACAGACCCATCTACATCATGACCTCGAGCCGCAACCTAAAGCACAGAAACCACATCAAAAGTCACTGAAGGTGCCACGTATCTTTCACTGTATAACACACAAAAGCGAAATCCATTTGAGTTCGTCACTATTCACTGCATCACGAATGGGAAAATCGGTTCAATAACGTCGTCCAGGTCCGTGCTGGATGGCGACAGTTGGGCCTCGTAGGACGGGGCTGACATCAGCTTCCCCGCAACGATCAGCCTACAATTCGCCCCGAGGAGCTGAACGCTGTCGCCTCTCCAACGTTTGTTGATGTTCACAAGGCCGTTTGCGCCCACAACGTGGATGATCCCGTAGTTATTCGTCACCTCCACCCGACAATTGTTGCCGACCACCTCGATGTCGCCGTAGTTAGTACGAACATAAATTATGCAGTTGTTTCCGACTACTTTCAGAAGACTCGAGTTCGTCTCCATTGTCACTTTAGTATTGTTACCAACAAAATTATTGTTATTATCCATGTTTACCAGAGGGATAAATAATAAATTACAACACAATAACTTAACAACGATTTTTAAATTGAAATTGAAATTGGAACACATTTTATTATGTACGGATATAAAATATACTTTTTTGTTGTTTAAGCCGTGTGTTTTCTCAGTTGCTGAGAATCCAAGAATGGTTCTTGTTGAATGCACGACTATTTTATAAGCGCGTGCGCACATTGTCCCCCGCGCGCCGCTGCCATTAGGAGTCTTTTTTTTTATTGCTTAGATGGTTGGACGAGCTCACAGCCCACCTGGTGTTAAGTGGTTACTGGAGCCCATAGACATTAACGACGTAAATGCGCCACCCAGCTTGAGATAAGTTCTAAGGTTTCAAGTATAGTTACAACGGCTGCCCCGCCCTTCAAACCGAAACGCATTACTGCTTCACGGCAGAAATAGGCGGGGTGGTGGTACCCACCCGCCCGGACTCACAAGAGGTCCTATCACCAGTAATTACGCAAATTAAAATTTGCCGGTTTGTTTTTTATTACACGATGTTATTCCTTCACCGTGGAAGTCAAGCGAAAACATTTGTTGAGTACGTATTTCATTAGAAAATTGGTACCCGCCTGCGGGATTCGAACACCGGTGCATCGCTCAACACGAATGCACCGGCCTAAAGGCCACGACGACTTCCCAGTCTTCACAGTCTCCTCAGTGCCTCATCTATAAATTATTATAATTTTTTTTCCTACCTATTCCAGTGACCTCAAGGGGTCATGCTAGATGTACCGAACGAGTAGGTGAGCTCACGGGGCTCTAACCTGTGGACGTTGCTAACAATAGCCCTAGCAAGAGCAGTGCTTCGCAGAATCTACCACCGGATCGGAAACGCGACCCACTAAGAAGATTCGGCGAGAAACTCAGTGGCTGTGTCCATAGGTTAGTTCGCTCGTCGAACTATTCGTAATCCATTAACCATCATCCATATTAATAACTGCTTGAAACGCGCTAATGTCCAATCATTTGTAGTAACATCCATTGACCATGATCAGTTCTATTCGAACCATGATATTGGCGTACTGAGAAATATATAATATAATTACTACTATATTATTATTATATATTACTTCTACTATAATATATTACTATAGGCGGGAAGTTATTTCATATTAAACATCGAGAATTTCTATCGCGAAGTTTTTTTTTCTTTATACCTGTATAACTTTGGCACGTGATACTCGTAGTAATATCAATAATGTCACAAGTCACAACCAACAAATAGTAGCTTAATTGCAATCGACATGAAAAAAAATTTATAGGTATACCTTTGTATAGTAGAACCATGATAACTTAAGCCTTGACAGCGTAATAACCTCTATAAATTCATAAAATGTTAGGTTGCCTTCCCCTTGGAGTCCAAAACCTCTTTTACTTTAAAATACGAAACCTCTATAACTTAACCGAATAATTTGGGCATCGCACCTCTATTCTATTATATTCTATTCTATCAGCCCATGGACGTCCACTGCTGGACATAGGTCTCCCCCAAGCCTCGCCACAAAGACCGGTCCTGCGCTGCCTGCATCCAGCGGATCCCCGCGAACCTCAATATGTCGTCGGCCCACCTTGTGGGAGGCGTACCCACGCTACGTCTTCATCGCACCTCACTAACTCAAAATTGTAACGATAACCTTTGTAACTTCACATCATCTATCAATGAGTCATTTTAAATGTGCAAACAAAAAATTCCCTGTAGACCATTGTTATTGCTTACACGTGTTTACCAAACGGCTTCAGATGTAAACAAGGTCTAAGTACAGTACCTTATTTATCAGTAACTTTAGACGCAACAGATTACTTGCCTTTGAGCACGTGCACTAAATACCACCGATTACTAAATACACAGAAGTGACAATTCGATTTACATTTGACATGATTATGGAGAGAATCCGTCTCACAATTTTCATACGGTTACAGATTTTTCTAATGATACATAATTTTGATCCCCAAAGGATCGATCATCTTAACTTACTCATATGCTCTTATTTATTTTTTTCCTTTTTTTTTCCTACCTATGCTGACGGTCTAGAGAGACCATATCAGCGTCACCGGGCTAGTAGGTGAGCTCACGGGGCTCAAATCTGATGACGTTGCTAACACGAACCCTAGCAAGAGCCGTGTTCGGCAGAATTGCCATTTTCTCTTCGCTTGGTGCAAATATGCTAGTGTCGTCAGTATATTTGATCTAATCTAGACTAATATTATAAAGCTGAAGAGTTTGTTTGTTTGAACGAGCTAATCTCAGGAACTACTGGTCCGATTTGAAAAATTCGTTCAGTGTCAGATAGCCCATTTATCGAGGAAGGCTATAGGCTATATACCATGACGCTAAGACCAATACAATCGGGGCACCAATAAATAATGTTTCAAAATCGGGTTGTTTTTCCCTTTTGAGAGCTTGCGCTGCGTCCGCTGCAGAAACGGTTAAAGTTTCGTTAAAATAATGTATGACAGAATTGTTCCCCTTTAAAAGATCTAAAAAAGGTTCGCGACAGCATATGTCTATGTGTTAAGGTTGGCTCACTATAACGATTTTTATGCTAACCAAATTTGTTCTAAAATAAAGCATTATTTGTGAACTATTCCACGCGTTCGAAGTCGCGGGCAAAGGCTAGTTTATTATAATAATACTATGCTTCCAAATCAAAATGTAATATAGCACCGGTCAGCACAAATAACGCGGGTTTCGGCAAATTGTTATTTTTGCATTGTGTTATTGACGTTTTTCAATTCTGAAGGGCAACGGAATTAAGGAATTTACAGCCTTATTTATTGTGATCTAAGTAAGCTGTTGGCTTATTTTCAAGTTTTTACTTACGTATGTCGTTATTTGATGCCTTCAAATAAATCAGAGTTTAAGTAGGTTTCTCGAAGAAGCTAAAATCCGTTTGCGTCATAACTTAACATGTAGACGTATTCCACGATAATTGAGATTTCAACCACATGTTAACAATGTACGTCAATCAAAATAAGAAATAAATTGTACTCTGATAAATACAGGTAAGCAGAACAAGAAAGATAAGCCGGTGCAATCATCGTTATTATGGCTAAAAGCGATCTCTTTCATACATTACTGGTGGTAGGACCTCTTGTGAGTCCGCACGGGTAGGTACCACCGCCTCGCCTATTTCTGCCGTGAAGCAGTAATGCGTTTCGGTTTGAAGGGTGGGGCAGCCGTTGTGACTAATACTGAGACCTTAGAACTATATCTCAAGGTGTGTGGCGCATTTACGTTGTAGATGTCTATGGGCTCCAGTAACCACTTAACACCAGGTGGGCTGTGAGCTCGTCCACACATCTAAGCAATANAAAAAAAAAAAAAAAAAAAAAAAAAAAAAACTTGATACATTTAGGAAATTATCTTCGGAAAATCTATATATTAATACGTGAAGCAAAAACTTTGTATCCCTTTTTACGAAAATTGCGTGGACGGAGGATTATGAATTTTTCCACACTTATAGAGAATATAGAGAAGAAGTGCACAATGCTAATATTTTTTTAAAATAATGCATAAAAGATACGTTAAATCAATAAAAAAAACATTACACACACTACATACCATGTATTTGACGCACACACGCATGCATACTATTTATTGTCAAACTTTTGTTCTTGACGTCTGTTGTCAAATTGAGAATAGATTCAATATTGTTTGTCTTTGTTAATATTTTTTATAGTATAGTCTTGGCGAAATTTGTGATTATAGAAGTATAAAAAACAATCATAATAGTGTACAAACTTACAATTCCAATTAATTATAGTCAAATTTCGACTACTGCGGGATCTCTAGTATATATAACAGCACGTATTTTTGTAATAACACATTTTTATGTACTTAAATTCCTTTTTTTTTTCAAACTTACTTATCAAAAACTGTCTATGAAATCTATGGGACAGACAAACAAAAACATGAGGGACTTTTTATTGTACCGTATATCTCATCTATATTATTTAGTGATAATGTTTTTTATCATTCGGTAGGGATTTTTTGTTTAGCAAAATTTTAATGGCTAACTTAGGTAGTAAGTTAGGTGAGCTCACGCCCCTCTTGATTTTAAGTGGTCACATCGATTATTACCTAAATAATCGTAGAGCTTTCATTAAGAGACGGAGTTTAATTAAACTGTTTTTTTTTTATTGCTTAGATGTGTGGACGAGCTCACAGCCCACCTGGTGTTAAGTGGTTACCTTGAGATATAAGTTCTAAGGTCTCACGTATAGTTACCACGACTGCCCCACCCTTCAGACCGAAACGCATTACTGCTTCACGGCAGAAATAGGCAGGGTGGTGGACTCTTGTGAGTCCGGGTGGGTACCCGCGCGGACTCACAAGAGGTCCTACCACCAGTAATTACGCAAATTATAATTTTGCGGGTTTCATTTTTATGATTGATTGATTTCCACGATGTTATTCCTTCACCGTGGAAATCAATCGTGAACATTTGTTGAGTACGTATTTCATTAGAAAAATTGGTACCCGCCTGAGATTCGAACACCGGTGCATCGCTCAACACGAATGCACCGGACGTCTTAACCGTTAGGCCACGACGACTTCAGTGTGTTGTTGTGTTTTGTTTTATTTTTGTAATGTTAAACTTTTTTAAATGTTTAATTAAAATTAAACTAAAAATCCATTCTGTACTATGAGCCATGCTAATAACGCAATAATCTCATTAATTCCGACGTCCAGTTTTTTTCTCTCGCGACAACGAAGATAAAAGCGTTTTTATTCATTCCTTCTCAAATGACTCATAACCCGATCACGGGATCCCTTAACCAAAACCAGAAATCAGGGAATGCTTGTAATGCAAAAAAAAACAGGGACTCAGGACTGAGCACCACGGGAAGGTATGCGCGCTAATGTGGGTGCTATTCTGTAACGATATCATAATAGCAATATCATTTAATAATACGTAAAGTAAGAGTCAAAATTTGGAATAGATTAGTCTAAATCTTATCTGACTCTGTCTGAAAAGTAAATGACACATGACCGAACTAAAGATTTTCGATAAATAAAGAAATGTAAATACTGTTTTCAAAGTAAAGTGTAT